CTGAGTAGCTTCCCACACAATTAGGAACTTGCATGTCAGAACAACCAGGCAGGATTTCTGTATTTACTACTTTGGCATCACGATTAATATTTAATCCAGAGGAGATATCACAGACATGTTTGAAACCTCATTTTGCTTGTTAAAAAATACTTTGAAACCAAGATGAGCAAATTATCTCATTATGGAGCCCTGTTATTTATTATCTTTAGATAGCTTAAATCAAAGCAAATGCTCACATAAGGGGGAGATTCCTTCCATTGCTCCTCTTCTAAGTGAATTTCTAATTTTCATTTGGTTTATTAGTGTTCATAGCCGAAAACAAAGAGATACCAGAATGGTAAGACAAGAGTGAATAAACTCCTCTGCCTTGCTGTGTGGCCAGGCCTTGGTTCGGCCATGCAGTGGTACCAGCCCATGGGGTAGAAGTGCCTTTCATTGACTCAGCTGGGGATGCCGACACACCAGGAGAAAGCACTGACCACTCAGGGATGTACAGAAAACCCCTCCAGGTCCTTGCCACAAACCTGAAGAAAATGGGCATGTTCGTATTTCTTTTTACTGCCTTGACTGGAAGACCCTCCCACTAATTGTCTTTACAGCACCTAACCCAGTAAAAGCATGTAATTCATTGTTTGCCTCTGCTCATTGATTGATCTGTGTGACAATTCTTGGTTTGCCACTTATTCAAGGGCAACTCCCTCTAGAAATTAAGAACATTTTGGACACGAATTTACTTGAATTTTGTTCATGGAATCACACTCCTCCCTGGCTGGTGACATTGGAAACAGTTCTACTATTACTCTTGGGGAGAAGGTAATACTCCTCGTCTACAAATATCCTGCAATATGAGCTTAAAATATAAAATATACCCCTGCTGGTAGACTCACTTGAAAGATTAGTTTTCAGATGAAACAGAAAATGAACCCCAAAGGGCTGTCCCTGAAAAGCACAGCCACAGCTACAATGCTCCCTGGCTGTGCTGGTTCCCTGTTCCCCAGGAGTGGGGCGGGGCTCGTGGGGCTTCATGCCGGGTGATGGGGTGGGGGGTGTTCTGGAAGGGTGGGCAGTTGCCAGGGGACACCCTGCTGGGATGCCCAGCCCAAGCCTGATGCTGAACCCTGTTGCTGGAGGTACTGATTTCTCTAGGTATACACGGATTTTTAACTAAGCAGCCCCTACTGCCCTTGCCTGCAGAAGATGATCACCAGAGGCAGCACCAGAGGTACCTCCTGCCTCTGCCCCTTGCTGCAAACCACTCTGCAGTGCTGCAAATGACTCTGGTTGCACGGGCACCTGGGCACAGCCTGCTGGGGCTGTGGGACTGCCCTGCGCTGCGCAGCCAGAAAGCAAAATGCCTGGCAGGTTTGGCGAAAGAGGGTGCACAGAGAGGAGGAAAGGAAGAAAGGAGGGAAGAGAGGGAAAATAACCCCGAGGAAAGGATTTTAATTCTGATTGTTAATGCTCAGATTTGAGGTCCTTCCTAGGGCAAACTCCCTGGATATGTAGGATGCGACTCTCTGTGCACCCTGGTAACTGTGTAAAAGGCTGGTACGCAAACAGGGGCTAAAGGTTAGTGAGTTTGGGTATGGCTTCCCAACAGCAATGAACTCACTGCATATCACGGCTTCTGCTCAGAGGCTGGGCAGCACCAGGATAAGAGCTGAGATGTCTGGGCAGCTAAAGCATGTAACTCTTCCCTTAGTGGGTCCCATTTGTCAGCTTTCCAGTTCCCACGGGACAGCTGACCTTTCACTACTAATATAAGAAAACTGCAAAGTGGCAGTTCCTGAAGCTCTGTGTTTTCCACGTCCGCACCGATAAAACCTGTTTGTGGCCCGGGCTGTCCGGCACAGCCAGCGCGTACGTGCATGCCTGCACGCCTGGGTGTGCACACCCCAACGGCAGCAGGAGCGGCCCGGGGTCACCAGAGCCAGTCATATCACTACCTGCTGGGAAGCTGGCCTAGGATATCTAACTGCTTTACTGCCTGCTTACACCTTGTTTTCACTCTTTACCTGGGGGACCTCAGCACACAGGAACGGTATCTCCCCCGT